ACCACAAATTAACCATGGTTTTGCTACACTAACCATAGTTTAAACATGGTATTTGTAGTTAAACTGTGGTTACACAAATGGTAATCAATACGCCGGAAAAAAGTGGTTACTATACACTTTTACTACAATAAAACCATGGTTAATTTTCGTAAGGGCTAGTATTGACACTTGTCGCATAATGCAAACTACTTTAGATCTCCACGACCTTTGCCAGACTGGTTCAGTTCATCAGTTGCGAGGCTATTGCAAACTAAACACCTCAAATACGAATTAAAAAACACAATGAGCACATAGTCGTACCTTAACTCGCTTTAAAACAAAGCACGAGAGCATGGAAAACAACTAATCTCAGTCATTTAAATTAGTGGACAGAAGACCGGTGACTTTGACCCAGCCGAATGTACCGCGTCGTACACTTCTACAAATTATATTGGCAAATTACAATAAAAGGAACACGTTCAATAGCAAAACACAAATAAACTGTGCTTGCCACTGAACAATAAGTTTATTGTTGCAAGTACTTACAATTTACGTGTCGCATATGAACACTCAACCTTCCCTCGTCACGTCAAAACAGAGCGTAATCAGCGTATGTCACAACACAACACAACCTAACGTATTTGTAGGTGATTGACAGGCATGAATGACCAATCAAACAGCAAGTTGAAATTCGTCACCAGTAGCGGTTGCATGAATTGGCACCTCTTTCAGCCAATGGAATACGGATGATAACTCTTTTACCCTCCTATTGACTAAACAGAAATTAAACGAAGTCGTACCGATTGACAGAATTACCGACGAGTCCTAAATGTTAGATTTTCTTAAAGGGAAGTCAGTGGCAGTAAAATCTGAAAATGACAGTTTATTACACAAATCCCAAGAGCGAGGAAGGAGGGTTTAGGGATGGGCGTGGCCAAATCTTGGTTTGGTTGCATCGCAGCGCATACACAATGGCTGCTGGAAAGAGGGGAAAGCAAACAATTTTTAGGCCCGCCGCGTCCAGCAAAAAATATGAGAAAAAAATTATTAAAAATCCGGGGAACAGTTGAAAGTCAAGAAAAATACCATAGAAAGGATGTTAACGCTCCCACGGTGAGTTTTATGCATATTTAGAAAATTGTTACGACGTTCTTTAATTAAAATATCGGGGTTATTCAAATTATGAGAGAGGGGTGAGCTAGAGAAAAAAAGTTTTGGGTTAATCAGCGCCTAGTTTGGGACCTGAGAGAAAAGCAACGAAAGACTGAATTATATAGGAAATGTAACATAATTCTGTTATTTGTTTCTGTCAAGTCAGGTTGCGCTCGGGCGAATGTCAATAAACAGACGAACGCGTGAAGTTGGAAAAGTTGGAAAAAAGTTTTTGAAAAATGTGTTTTGAGATTTTCTCCAAATATACAGTTACGATCAT